TCTATGAGTCTTATACGAACAATAAACTTTTTTTCTCATGTTTCTTGGACCATAAAGGGGGTGCACTATACACCCCAAAAGACGGTAGTGAAGAAATTTTCCATGAAACAAGTGCAAAAATGGCTACTTCCCATTTATTCAAGGTCACTTCCGGTTGATATTTTCAAGGTCATATGTCAATCAACAGTTTGCAAAAGACCCTATGGCTTTATAATGTACCAAGTTGGAGTAATAATCAATTAACCTCAAATTGAATCATTTCAGGGACAATAACTCCTATAAAATGTCATTGGATTGTTTCAGACCAAATGTATCATATCTTAATCACAATTAGGCAAACATTTTGCACTAGTTCTTTTATATACATATATCTTAAAAAGTGACAAACGAGATCATGGAACAAAGAAAAATTAAGAATATGACCTTGACCTTTGACCTTGGCCTCAATTTCATTTAAATGAACCAAGGACATCAAATCAATATACCTTAGGTCTCTATCACTTACCATTCATGCTATACATTTATATATTCCTTATTTCAAATACAGAAAGGGAAATAACTCTCATATGGAGTTTTCTTATCGCTTCCGTCAAAATTGGACAAAAAATCCTGAGGATATAGCGAGCAATTTGGTTAAACAAATTTGTCACTTTCTTTTACGGTTACGGAGTAGATCTCATTACAAAGAAAACAGTGTTCGGGGAGATAACTCTTACAATAAAAAGTCTTCCACTAAACACGGTCAGTCTCAAAAGCGCAATAAGTGTTCGATATCATATGCAAAAAATCTTAGCAGAAAAGTGGAAAGACCTAATAAATGGGAGAATGTGTACATGGGACACAGATGATGCCTCTGCTTGCATATAACATTATAAAGGGACATAACTAGAGGACTGTAAAAGGGATGCCACTCAAATTCGAACTTGATCTGTGTTTTATTGTAATAAGCATTGTAAATAAGTTTCATAACATTTGGTTGAGGCAAACTTAAGTTAGAGATTGGGACGTACGTACAGAAGTACAGACATACAGATGGACAGACATTGGTAACACTTAATGCCCCCTTCGCCTAACAGCGGGGGCATAAAAATAATAATAAAACTGTAATTAATTTTCAGTAAATGATTAACACTTGTGAATATTTTAAAGAAAAAGGCATATACTGTGAATACATTTCAAACTAAAAAATTTGCTCTCTGAAGATTTAAATTCAGCAAAAAAAGGGGGGGGGCTAGGATGAAAATTTTTTTTTTAGTTGAAATCTCTGTCCTGCCTTTTAATTTTTTACTCTATTGGGTCCTGCCCTTTTTTCTATTAGTTTATCCTGACTTTTTTTACATAAATTGTCATCATGTCTTTTTTTTTTGACAAGTTGCTCATCCTGCCTTTTTTGTTTAATCAAAACTCCTGTCCTGCCTTTTTTTCAAATTTCATCCTAGGCCCCCCCCCCCATAAAAATCAAATGGTAGCTCCCTAAATGTGCCTAAGAGTCAATCACTTCAGGACTGCTCCATTGGGAGTAATGGGGTGGAATCCTAACCCTGTTGGTAGAGTAGCATTTTTTACAGGGTAACCTTAGTCCATGGTTTTTTAATTTGTTGGTTTACCAGATTTTTAATGAAAATAATTTTGGTAAGTCAGTCAGAAAAAAAATAATCTTACAAGACATACATGTAAATATGTATAAAATTAATGTGTACTTCAGCTTTTTTACAATATTTGTGTTCTTTTTTCATGTTTTTGTCATCATTCCTTAAATTTAAAATTGAGAATGGAAATGGGGAATGTGTCAAAGAGACAACAACCCGACCATAGAACAGACAACAACAGAAGGTCACCAACAGGTCTTCAATGCAGCAAGAAATTCCCGCACCCGGAGGTGTCCTTCAGCTGGCCCCTAAACAAATATATATACTAGTTCAGTGATAATGAACGCCATACTAAACTCCAAATTGTACACAAGAAACTAAAATTAAAAATAATACAAGACTAACAAAGGCTAGAGGCTCCTGACTTGGGACAGGCGCAAAAATGCGGCGTGGTTAAACATGTTTATGAGATCTCAACCCTCCCCCTATACCTCTAGCCAATGTAGAAAAGTAAACGCATAACAACACGCACATTAAAATTCAGTTCAAGAGAAGTCCGAGTCTGATGTCAGAAGATGTAACCAAAGAAAATAAACAAAATGACAATAATACATAAATTACAACAGACTACTAGCAGTTAACTGACATGCCAGCTCCAGACTTCAATTAAACTGATTGAAAGATTATGTCTTCATCATATGAATATCAGGCACAATCCTTCCCGTTAGGGGTTTAGTATCATACCATCATAACATATATGAGAAGAACATAACCTGTGTCATGCCAACAACTGGTTTTTAAATAATTATGTTTAGTGCCGATGCAAAGACCCTATAAGTGAATCAATATTAATGCCAAAATATGCAATCTTTAATGACCTGACAACAGTATCGTAACTATATCCCTTCTTAATAAGTCTATTTAAAGGTTTTGTTAGCTTCAGAGGTGAATACTGACATTTTTGTGCTTTATAAAGAATATTTCTATAAAAAATTGGATGTGAAATACCTGAACGTATAAGAAGTCTGCATGTTGAGCTATATTTACGAATGATGTCCTTATACCGATGATAAAATTTAGTAAATGTTTTGACTAGTTTGTGATATCGAAAACTCTGGTGTAATAATTTTTCAGTAATACATAAATTTCTCTCGTTAAAATCTAAAACATTGTTACATACACGAGCGAATCGTACAAGTTGAGATATATAAACACCGTAAGATGGTGACAAGGGAACGTCACCATCTAAAAATGGATAATTAACGATAGGAAATGAAAAATCATCTCTTTTATCATATATTTTAGTATTAAGCTTTCCATTAATGATATAGATATCAAGATCGAGGAAAGGGCAGTGGTCATTGTTAGTATTAGCTTTATTTAAAGTAAGTTCAACAGGATAAATTTCTTTAGTATACATACTGAAGTCGTCATCATTGAGAGCCAAAATATCATCCAAATATCTAAAAGTATTATTAAATTTGTGTATCAGATGTTGTTTTGATGGGTCTTTGCTGATTTTTGTCATAAATTGTAACTCATAGCAATACAAAAAAAGGTCCGCAATAAGTGGTGCACAGTTAGTCCCCATTGGAATTCGGATAACCTGACTGCCGAAGATTTTTTTCTCAGCTGATTTCTGTAATAACATAGGTGTGCTATGCATGTATATCGCCCCTTTGAAACATGTAACTTACATATATGTTATCACAGTTTTTGTATTTTTTAGTCCACAACAACAAATGTATGTTATTTTTCTCTAATAACCCTATAGACATGATAGAGTTATATCCTTGACTGCCCATATAGCATTTTTGTACCTCATGGACTAAATACATGTTTACTATTTCGTACCATATATTTGTAAATAGTTCAAATTTTGTGCCAAAATCAGAATTGTAGATTCTATATTTAAATCTTCCATGAGGTACGAAATGGTATACATACAAATCTTCCATAAGGTACTAAATTGCGCACATGTAAATCTTCCATGAGGTATGAAATGGCAAACATATAAATCTTACGCGAGGAACAAAATGGTATACATATAAATCTTCCATGAGGTACGAAATGGTATACATACAATACTTCCATCAGGTACGAAATAGGTTTCACACCCAAGCTGTATAATGAAGTTGGTCACATTGGGGTCTAAGCATGACGTGGGATTGGCTGATTTTTTGTAAGCGTGACTCCAAAAGTCAAATTATTGTGCTTGAAAAAGGAAAACGGAGTCCAGCGGGACATGTGAAATTACAAGCATTATCATTACAATGATAAGCAGGAATGGGGAATCTGACAAAACAATAAGCGGGACCTGGGATCAGACCCCCCAAAAATGAAGCCATATAATTTAATTACGCAATTTTGCTTATCAGTGATACAAAAACGATATTAGAGATTGACATTGATGGTAATAAAAGATTGAGACTGACAAATTTTTAGGGGTTTAAATTTTCAAAAAAAGGATGATTTGAATTACAAATGTACAAACAGGAAGGACAGAAGACAGCTTAAAAAAGGGAGATTTTGACTCCTGCCATAAGAATCACATGTGTGGGAGGGGAAATAGTAAGAAAGTACAGGAAAACCAATGCATGTTACCAAGCAACTGTTTGGTTTCAATGATGATTTCCAGTGTTTTTCAAAGATTTTCACCTCCATTATGAAAATCTGCCAACTATTCAATTTGACTGCAAAAACCATGAAAGGACCCATTAACCAACCGTACAGAAATAAAAGAAGTGGTGATTTATAAACCAACTGTATAAAAAAAAGTGGTGATTTATAAACCAACTGTATAAAAAAAAGTGGTGATTTATAAACCAACTGTATAAAAAAAAACAATTTTTCTTGAAGTTGAAATTTGCAAAATGGTGCCAAATTGTCTTATGAACAGTGTACCGAAATGTCTTAGTGGCAAAGTATCTTGCATGGGTCGACATGGTCGATGGGACGTAATAAATTTGCTGCTGACAAGTAGACCAAACATGCAAATCAACATGTGACAAAAAAACAATAACTACCATGAGATCAACAAATAGCACCTTCTTCATATTTATTTGTAACTTAATAATTGATCTCTCTCCGTCTCACTTTTAGTCCAATCCAACATTTCAACCGGTGCAGGCCTCAGGGTCTTGCAAGTTGCAACTGTGCAAATAGCTGCAGAACCGTAGCTCTTAGGTCCTTACGTTATTTTTTTGCTATTTGCTGACCATAGATCAGGTCCGCTAATAGTCAAAAAATAACATAAGGACCTAAGACTAAGAGCTACGCCTACGGTTCCGCAGCTACTGTGCAAATTGTACTGACGTAGACACTTGACATAGTTTACTCAAATACTCTGTGATAGGATAGGAAAAAGGAATAGCAATATGTTTTAAATACTGCACAGGGTAATCAGTTTACCATAATTCAACACTAGCCTGCATTCGAAAGACCTGCTTTAGACTTATTAAGCTGTCAATCTTTACTTCCGCTTTAAGATGAAGGTGTACTTCGTCATGAAAACTGTTGGTCTGTTCGGAACTTTTCAACATTCGGATGTTTTTGGAATTTTCCTACAACAAATCTGGCAGAGCTGTAAATCAAAAATTGGTAAACTACATATAACTCAAATTCGTCTTGAAACGTTACAAGAACTTAATATTTACATTGACAGTGCTACATTGCTATACTTCATGACATCAAGCATGATCTTGACAGAACAGTGGTAGACGTACAGAATGCCGGACAAGTCGGACCGAGTCCAATCGCTGAATCGGACCGGTCGGTCTTTTCGGGGTCAAACCTATAATACGACAGTCCCATAATCCGACAGTCCTGTAGTCTGACAGTCCTATAAACCGACAGCCCGATAGTCCGACAGTCCTATAATCCGACAGCTCGATAGTCCGACGCGCGGTCACTTGTCTCTGAAATATATGCCTATGTAGACATAGAACGTTTGTAAATTTATATATTTTTTCACACAGAAAATTATCAAATTAGTCAGTATGACGTCTTGTACAGGGCCGCACTGATCCCATACGAACCGGATAAACTTTCACACCCTACACGTTCGCACCCTACACGTTTAGTTTTGTTTCTTTATGAAACAATGAAAAAAATAAATATTTATAGCAATACACTTAACAAAAGTCGATTTTTTTCATTGTTTTATAATAAGTTGACATTCTGAAAACGTTTTTTGTGTTGAGTAAATCTTAAATCATGTTTTGGTTAGAGAATTGCTATTATTATATAATTTTTCCATTGGAAGGACAGCGATTGATATTGCCATGCAAAAGCAGTGATAAGGTATTATTTTGATTACAGAAAAATTGACGCAATTTATTAAGATTTCATTTCAAATCATGAAATATGAAACATCTTCTGAAAGTGTTATTGCATCTTGAAAATTTGAGATAATGACACTATTCCCATTTTAACAAAACTTATGCTCTTTTAAAAACAAGAGAAAAGATAAAAAAAAATATTTATTGCTTCTATGAATGCCCCTCAGATATGAGAAGAATACATCTAATACATGCGACATATCACAATCGACCACATTATACCATGTATATGTTATACATGCACGTGCATACGCATGTACAAAATGTATAAAAACAGACATTCTCGTTACCAACATCGACATGATGAATATATTAAGGTACCATTTGATTTTATTGGAGGTTGGGGCTAGGATGAAAAATGTTGTCCTGTAATTTTTCTAGTTGTAATATCTGTCCTGCCTTTTTATTTTTCACTCTATTGGGTCCTGCCTTTTTTATTAGTCTATCCTGACTTTTATTTTACATAAATTGTTTTTACATAAATTGGCTTTCTGCCTTTTTTTATTGCCAAACTGCTTATCCTGACTTTTTTTGAACTCAAAACTCCTTTCCTTTTTTTTTCAAATTTCATCAACCCCCCAACCCACCCTAAAAATCAAACGGTAGCTCCCTAACTTTTCAAATAGGATAGGATTTAATTTTTATACCATTTTAACGCATTCCATTTTTTTAATTTTTAAACACTGCTGGCGTTTCGGCAGTATGCTTATAAGCTTATACGAAGACGAGATCCATACCCTTCGCAGCAACACGGCTTCGTGTCGGACTACCGGACTGTCGGATTAACAAACTGTCGGATTATCGGACTGTCGAACTATCAGTCTGTCGGACTACTGGACTGTCGGAATTTCGGGGTGTCGGATTATAGCTATGCCCTCGGTCTTTTCACCACCGAACACCACCGCACACCGCCGAACACCACCGAACACCCATAAAGACCACTAACCCTTAACAAAAACAGTAATGTAACACAATAAAACAATAAAATAGATTAAATTACGTAAAACTTAATCCTATTGTCATGTTTTTTTTTCACATTTTTATGTGCATTAGTGATGTTAAAGTTGAGAATCCCTTCCAGATCCAGCAATATTTTTTTCGGATTTACATTGTCTGTATTTCATTGTATATTATCTTATGGTCTTTACTTTTCAATTATTAGAAATAAATTGTTCAAATAAGTTAAAACATTTTATTTAATGTGAAATTATCACAATATTAAATTATATATAAAAAATGTAAGACTTGAAAGTGTACTGTTCTGACAACAGCCCTGCAAGACTGTTCTTTTTGGTTCTCTTGTTATCATTTCTTATTAATTTGTGTATATGTATAAACATATTCATCCTCGTTCAGAAGGTAAGTCAAATATATAAATAAAGATGAAAACAATATATTTAGGCGTATTAGATGGTATTTTAATGTGTTTGGTGGTGTGCTGTGGTGTTGGGTGGTGAAAAGACCTACCGAATCTAACCATCTAAAAAGACAACTCGGACCGTCAATAAAAACTTGGACTGTCAATAAGTCAACTCGGACCGTCTGTAAGGACAACTCAGAGAAAGAAAAGTGGATTTGAACTATATATATCATTATTTTTATATGATATATATTTTACATGACAACATCATTTGGGAATGTTAGGGAGCTGCCATTTGATTTTTATGGGGGGCTAGGATGAAATTTGATAAAAATTACAGGACAGGAGTTTTGAGTAAAAAAAAAAGGCAGGATGAGATTATTTGCAAAAAAAAAAAGGCAGGATGACAATTTATGTAAAAAAAAAAAGTCAGGATAAACTAAAAAAAAAGCCAGGACCGAATAGAGTGAAAAATAAAAAGGCAGGACCGAATAGAGGGAAAAATAAAAAGGCAGGACGAAATTTTTCATCCTAGACCCCCATAAAAATCAAATGGTAGCTCCCTTACTGAATTCGCAAAACATAATAAAATAAGTATTGTATTACGTGAATACAATTTTTTACTTATCTTTATTAATTTATTATAAAACTTAATTGATGCAAAAAATAACTCTAGGTTGAATTTGCTTTATTTATTTTTTGAATTCTTTATTATTTTAACGTCATCTCGGACCTTCCATAATAGACGTATTTACACTTGTATGCAAATTTATCCGCCATTACCTAAAATCATACAGGTTCCCGTAAACTTTGACATCTTAATTCAAAACATTTGACGTCACAATTAAAAAGTGATTGTTGCCTGACGTCAAAAGGTGATTCGAAGTAGATCTAAGGTCATTCGCAGGCAAAATATAGCTAAATACCAAAAGTGTAAATACATTTATGCCAACTATAACTAAGTATTAACATAAGAGTTTGTGCTATTTATATGTTAAACATGTTATATTTTACATCAATGTGTAGATATTTATTTCTATTTCATCATAGTGATTCTATATTTTGAAGAAATCTTCATTAATTCAATAAACGAACTTAGTTAATCCGTTAATTAAATTATTCTTTTCGTCATTATAATTAAATTAAATCAACAATCAGTAATGTGAGAATATATCAAAACATTACAAACATTATTTTTTCATACAGCTTTCGAACAACAGAAATAAAAATACTTGGGAACAACACTCAATTGTCGATATAAACGTCTCTTCATAGACGAACCAAGTTGTCATTATTTATATACTCAAAATCGGCATCAATACTTTATTAGAGACTTCTCATCAGACACATTCTTTTTCCTTAAATCATATTCTTCCAAAGTCTAATTTTATACTTACTCTTGAGTTGTCATTATAGATGGTCTGAGCTGTCTTATTGATGGTCCAATTGTCTTTTTTGGAGACGGTCCGAGTTGTCTCCCGGCCAACTTGTCTTGCACCCAACGTACAGACCACCCAGGCTTGTTTAAATTATCAGTCAGGGATATAACTCTATAGGGTTATTACAGAAAATAACTTGCATGTGTTATTACAGATACTTTTATGAGTTGTCTACTCTTTAATCCTTAAATTTACTAAATCTGTAATAACATATGTTTGTTATTTGTAAAATAAATCATAAATATTTTTATTTTTAGTGGGCTCTAGGGAACGCTGGAAACTTTGCGCAGAAACTAAATGCATAGCCTTGATAACTAACTATTAATTCAGATTAATACATTTTTCATTAACCATGGTAAATCAATGAGACAAGGCTTTTAAGTCATTAACTTAGCTGTAATAACAAGGCTTAGTTATTAAAGGCATGAAACTTATTAAATGAGACACTTGGGAATTACTGGGAAGCTTGCGCAGAACCTCATTACATGCTCTGATCATTACTTCTTACAATAAATTAAAATACATTGTAATTGAGCATGATCTATGTCTGAGCAAAGGCTTTGAAGTGATGTAGAGAAGCTATAATAACACCATCTAGTTATTACAGGCATATTTGTTCTGTAATAACATAGTTGTGATATGCATGATTGGCAAACTATGGGCTGTTATATCTTTCTATAGTTAAGTATATATAAAGACAGTAGCAATATCAATAGAACTTGTATACATTTTAACAAAACAAATGATGTATATTGGCCCTTTGAAACATGTAACATACATATGTTATCACAGTTCTTTGATTTTTTGTCCACAATAACAAGCGTATGTTATTTTTCTCTAATAACCCTATAGAGTTATATCCTTGACTGATTATAGAGGGTAGGAAATTGGCTTTATCGTCAAGCGTCAAACGTCCGTTTTTCACTACCTGTCGTTTTTGCGTCAAATGAGTCTTAATTTTTATCGTCATTCAACACATCATATTTTGTAGCTAAGTATATGTTAGTGTCAAATGGAGTAAAATAGTTATTGTAAACATTATTTTAACAAATGTTTTACCGTCTTTTGTCATGTGGGGTACCAAATTCCTACCCTCTTTTAAATATTTTTGTCACAATTGATCAAAAGGTCATCTGTGACTGGTTCGGGCCCTGATCTGTAATATATTGGAGCATGCGCCAGTCTCAGATTAGCAATATTTTTTTGTAACGAGCCACTGGTAAGACTCGTTTAAATACATGTAATGTATGAATTCTTAGTGGTTTCATGGCTTTCGAGAAGTTTTGGCCATATATACCAGTTCGGCCATATGTCATTTCTGCCGTACACAATATTGGCCTTATTTGTTACGGTCCATAACAAATTTTTGTGCCCCTGCCGTAAGCAATGGGAGCATTAAGTGTTACCTTGACCATCCATCCTTTTGTCTGTCCCTATTCTTGTTTCTGCACTCTAACTTTAATTTCCCTCATCCAAATTTCATGAAACTCGTACACAATGCTGAGAACTAATACTTGCAGTCAGAGTTATAATTTGGGCAGTAAGTCACATACCGTTCTAGAGTTATGCCAATTATGACTTGGACAATTGCAATTTTTTTGTTTCTGCACTCTGTCTTGAGTTTTCCTCATCCAAATTTTATGAAACTCATGCACAATGCTAAGAACCAAAACTCACAGAGTTCAAATTTTAGTAGTGAGTCACTTATCGATCTAGAGTTATGCCTTTCAAATGCCTTTATAACTTGGAAAATTGCAAATCTCTTCATTTCAGCACTCTAACTTAAGTTTTCCTCATCCAAATTTTATGAAACTCATTCACAATGCTATGAACCAAAACTCACAGGGTTCGAATTTTGGTAGTGAGTCATTTATTGATCTAGAGTTATGCTCCTTTGTAAGTTGGAGAATTGCATTTTTTTCATTTCAGCACTCTAACATGTCTAACTTAATAAGTTTGTCTCATGGAAATTTTATGAAGCTCAAACACAATGCTAAGAATCACAACGCTCAGACAGAGATGAAAGTTTAGCAGTAAGTCGTCAACTGTTCTAGAGTTATGCCCCCTTATAACTTGGAAAAAATAATTCACCTTGGTAGACAATGTTTTCTCAGGGGTTAAATTCTGCTCTATCACCCTCTCAGCTATGTGTTATTTATATGTTATCACCTTTATCATTTTTATTGTCAAAAAGCGAGACATAGGTATACTGTTTCCGGAGGTGTCAACAATGTATTAGTTTGTGATTAGGTCAGTTTATGGGGAACCACTAGTGAGTAGTGTAGGTGAATGATATTTTGTATGCAGTTGTATTAGCATTGGCACATCTCATATGTATAGAGATATTTTGGCCCCAATGCCTCAGTCATGCAGTCATGGGTAATACTTGTATAAGTGTTTTTTTATTTACTGGTAAATTAATTTGGCAGTAGAGTTATATCCCTTAGACATTCAGATTTTTTTTATACATATGTTATATAAGTAAAGAAGTCTTATTTTCTTCTACTCTATAATTTCTCTTGACTTCACTGCTCTATTAGAGTGTTTAGTTGTCTATCATTAATAGTTATCTTAACTATTCTTAAAGTATAATTTCATGGACAATGAAAATCTCAAAAACGAAAAATTAATTAGCAAACCAGAAAAATTCTTTTTAGGCACGTTTTGACCTCCCAAAACTTAAGAATTTACATGATTTATGAGGTCATAAAAAATCTTATAAATTCACTTATACAAGTAAACATGGTAAATTACTATTTACATCTTCAAGTAAATAAAAAAAACTTGTATAAAAGTATTACCCCTGACTGTCATGATCTCTTTGAGTTTGAAACTTTTGCTTAGTTTACATGTATTAGTCTGTGATTAGGTCAGTTTTTGGGTAACCACTAGTGGTCAATGATATTTGGTATACAGTTGTATTGGCATTGGCACAACTCATTTCCATGGAGTTTGATTGGCCCTTTACCATGATTACCTTCAGTTATGGTTCATTGACTCTGAATATTTTGCATAACTTACATGTTAAAGTATTGCTATTTTGATTTCTACATTTGCATTTTACTATCAAAATAACAAAAAGGCAAGACATATCTCTGTGTGAACAATCACATGTACATTTTATTGATTATCATGATTATGCAATATATATACATATAGCATTTATGTTGATTACGATTTTATTAGAAGTTTTCAAGAATATTGATTATATGCATAATTAGATTAAAAAACAAATATATACATGTATTACAAAAGTTAGCACAATCATTATTTGATCATAATAAACATGATAAAGTAAACGTACATTAATCAGCAATTTTCATATGACTTTGATCTTAATAATCTTTTCAACTGGTGTAATAACAATTGGTTACACACAAGCTGATCCACAAAGTAATGTACATATTTTTTTTTTAGTTATAAAAACTACTTGAATTGAGAAATATTGTTTGATTTGCTGAATGTTGTCAATGATCGTCATTACTGTTTCCTAAAACTATTCCTCTGATCGACAGCAAAATTTTCACAGCTTTTTCATGTGCAAATTGCCACTTACCCTGAATCAAATACTTTCACAAAACTCTCAGACTTTTATAGCAATTATTCATTAATTTACATGTATTATGGGGGCGAATCAAATTAGCTTGGGGCAAGAATGACTTTGGCCAGATAGACTGAGACCTAATTGACTTGGGACTGGATTTGTTTTGGGCCTAGATGACCTGAAACCTTCAGTCAGCAGTAATACTTACACAATTGTTTTTACTGTGTTGCTTAAGGCCTAAAATTGCGTTAAATATTTGCCACAAGATGAATCATAGAGAATTAGTGTTATCCAACATTGTCCAAGCAAAATTAGTTACATGTACATGTAAGTTAGTTTCCTATGAAAAAAAAAAGTGACTTAGATTTGTTAATTATATATTAATAAAAACATCACACTTTTTTCTGTACAGTACATTTTGATTGTCATTTGTTTCTTAAGATTTGTTGTCTCTTTTTAAAAACAGAATTAAGTAATACATGTAATAAGTGTTCTGTTCTTATGAGTTTACAAAAAAAATATCCCAATTTCAAGGGATTGGCATTTGAACGACATTTGTAGGCAAACACTTTGTGTGAAAATAATTCTGTAACAACCCACACTACCAGTTTTGGACATAACATAGGAATAATTTAAAAGTGGAAATACAGAAAAGCTTCAGGAGTACACAAATAAAGCGAGAACAGGACTTTACATGTACCAATTTATTTTTTATGAGAAAAAAAATGTGCATTAAATATGATTTGTGTCATTTGTAATAGTTAGTAAACATTAACTATTGCAAACCCATGGGCAGATTAGCATGTGTCTATGCTACAATAAATGTATGTATCATAGAAGCTCAAACACTCCGACCTGTTTTAACAAAACAATGAAAAAGTTTGAATCAATTCTCAACAATACCACAGACTTTTCATCGGTCACAGCTGTATTCCATGGTTTATTTCAGTACAAGAAATGTAGAAACTACTTCAGATCATATTCCAGAAATCAAATTTCTTTTTCCTTCTTCTGTTTCTCGATAAGGTTTAGGAACAGTTATAATGTTCGTTCATCTTACATGTCTTATATGATGTGTTTTCCTGTTTTTTGCAAGTGATTTAGTTCTTCCTTATACATATACTGTAGAAACATTCTTCGTGGGGTTAAAATTTCGTGGTTTTGTCTCGATATAAGATTTCATGGGGATTTAATTTCATGGTTTCCAGTATTTGGAAGTGATCTTATATTTAGGTTAAATTTATGAGGGGGTTTTAATTTCATGGATATATTCTTTCCACGAAATAAACGAAATAAATCCTCCACGAAAATTTCTGCTTTTACAGTATACAGAAATTCATCTTGAGGTTAAGTTCATTTTTAATTTCTAGTTCCCACTACTAAAAATAAGACCAGGTGATAACCTTTTATCATGTTTATAAATAGATAGTCAGGGAAACCCTAAACAGACATGATTATACAATGTGTGACATGTGTGACATGCCACAATGGTTGATGTATAGTCTTCAACTTTGACTTTGATGTAAGGCCAATTAAAATTAATTGATAGATTTTCATCCCCGCCCGCCCCTCTGAAATCGTTCCGCCCCAATTTTTTTTTATTTTGAAAAATTTACGATTTCCGGATTTTGTTCCTTTTCGTTACCGGTAACTGTCGATAATTTCGTTTCATTAATAACATCCTGTTTCAAATTTTGGTTTTTGCATTTCTTTGTATGTTTGATTCGTTATACATGTATATACATGATAGAACCTTATTATTACACTTGCATATATGAAGAACACGTCACAAGAGCGTTTCATATCTAATAAAAAATTAAAAATAAAATCCTCCCACCCACCCCATTTTTTTCAAAAATTTGGATGAAAATCTACTAATTAAATTTACTTGGCCTAAAATTTATATTTAAATTATTAATGTTTTAGCAAGTAGGCTCTCTGGGCCAGAAATCTCATTTTTTATTTATCGGAATTACGTTCCTTTGAATTTGCTTTAGTAAAATAATTCCAAAAGAATTTACTTTTGCCTCATATAATTTTATTTTTTGCTATTTTTTGTCTCTTGTGCAACAACAGTTGTACAATGTGATACCCAGGTGAGCTAATCTGGCAGCAGCAGCTTAAAGTATTTTTCATAAAGCTTTACAGGGAATAAAACTAACATTTTCCAACTAGGGGCCCAACCTGCCACAAAATTAACTGAATCAGTAGTTTGTGAGCCAGTTTTCAATATTAAGATATGCCTATAGTCTTAAATTACTGGGTTTTAAATATACTGATAAATAATGTTAATGTTCCTTTATAAAGTTTACAGTACATTTTAGAAATGGATTCAGACTCTGACCAGCCTTGTAAGAAAAGATGCACAGAAAGAGATAAAGTTCAGAGTGAAAGTGCTTCTGATACAGCAGATGAGGGCAAAGTTCAAGTGAAAGGTGCTGCCACATGCGCTATGGGAACTGACAGCAATGCAAACAGTAATACAGAAAATGAAGATAGAGGTTCAAGGGCGCAAAGTCTGGATGGAGATGATGATATGCAGGGTTGCCGTAACAACTTGCTGGAAGTTGATGAACATTCAAGGTCAAGTTCAAGGTCAGGTAGTGAAGAGGCACCAATGCCATCTGATATACTTGTTGACTGGGTAACGTCACAAAATATATCATCTTTTACGAAACCCAATCAACCTTGTCGAGATGTAGAAAGTATGCCGAGTTGTTCTCACGACACAAGATTTAGTCGGAATAAAAGTCCTGCTAACATTGTTGTTGATGATACAGGAGAGGTAATCCCTGTTGAGAACTTGAATTCCTCCTCTTCAGACAGTGATAGTTCAGATAATCAAATAGACTCTGCCAGATCAGATAGGTCTGAATCAACATTCAAAATTCAGCCAAGTCGTCATACTGAAATGACCTTAACATTTGGTGGTACTGGATCAAGGTCTAACATGACTCATACAGTGTTACTAGGAGATGGTTATAATAGTCGTCAGTCTGTTAAATATGTATTTAACTTTAGAAGCATGTCTGATTCAGCCACACAGACTGATTCATTGACTCGAGAAACAGCAATCAATGCCACTGAAGATCAAAATGGCTCACCTTATTTTCTACTCAAGGGAGATGACTCCTCAAACAGTGGTGATATAGAATTTCAGTCAAGTATAAACAGACTGCCAATGAATATTTTACTGCAGATATTTAAATCTTTAACAATGTGTGAACTATTGTGTCAGGCAAGCTTGGTGTGCAAAACATGGTATAACCTGTGTCATGACCCTGACCTCTGGAGATCAGTTGATCTAAGTCATCAGCACAAAGCAGATGATAATGTGTTGTCACGCTTGACTTCATACAGTGATAGAGTAACCAATATAAATCTTGAAGACACGAAAGTTCTTACGAGTCATGGAATCAGCCTGGTATGTGTAAAGTGTAAACATCTGCAAAAACTGAAGTTAACCAGGTAAGGACATTCTAAATATACACCGAGTTTTCTTAGACAAAGTTTTATAGTGATAGGAAAGGCCTTCCTCTTTCCTTTCATCCTTTCGCCCCACATTTGTACCATATATCTTTTTTTTGGTGTGTGTTCAATTTTTGCTTTGTTTGCGGCATCTAAAGAAATACAAAGATTTGACCCGCATTAATTTGCCTGTATATTCCAAGATTTGTTGTTGTTTAAGCATTTCATACATATGTGCATTCGAGAATACACAAAATTTGTATGTAAACTCTTCATCTTATAAGTGAAATGACATTATATATATATAATAAGTCTTTTGTTTTGATCGACAGATCACCAGAATGTGTAAATATAATTAAGATCTCTGTTTACATAATCATGATAATAATACATATCATACCTTTTGACAACACACCAACCAATGATATGTTCAAAAATGTCAATTAGCGATGGTCTATTGATTGTTGTCATAACCAGAACCTGAATTTTGTGTATTTTCGTTATTATCTGTCTTTAATTAATTTTATGTTATTTACATCTTTAACAATACAGAGTTTTTTTTATCATGTATTTTCCAATTTTGGGTAAATTATACACTCTGAAAATATAACATGTATAACCTGCCCATTTTGTGATCAAATTGCGAAAAAAGACGATACGAAAAAAACCTGATATATCATGTATATGGTATCTTCTAAAACGATTGAGAGAATTTGTGAACATTTGCTGAATTTTATTAACAAAATGTACTTTTGCATCTCCTATTAAGTTTCTTCTTCCAACTGACTTATGGGTTTAACTTTGACCTGGCATGGACTTTGTCTTATCCACACACGGCAGTACACATTTGTATCTGCTTTTGCTCATCACTTGGCGTCCGTTGTCCGTCGTTGTTAGCTTTTTACAAAAATCTTCTCCTCTGAAACCACTGGGCTAAATTTAACCAAACTTAGCCACAATCATCATTAGGGTATCTAGTTCAAAAAATGTGTCCGATGACCTTGCCAACCAACCAAGATGGCCGCCATTGCTAAAAATAGAACATAGGGGTAAAATGTAGATTTTGGCTTATATCTCTGAAACCAAAGCATTTAGAGTAAATCTTACATAGGGTAAAACTGATTATCAGGTCAAGATCTATCTGCCCTGAAATTTTCAGACAAATCTGACAACCTGTTGTTGGGTTGCTGCCCCTGAATTGGTAATTTTAAGGAAATTTTGCAGTTTTTGGTTATTATCTTGAATATTATTATAGATAGAGATAAACTGTAAACAGCAATAATGTTCAGCAAAGTAAGATCTACAAATAAGTTGTCATGACAAAAATTGTCAGTCGACCTCTTAGGAGTTTTTGCCCTTAATAGTCAATTTTTAACAATTTTTCGTAAATTTTTGTAATCTTTTACAAAAATCTTCTTCTCTGAAACCACTGAGACAAATTTAACCACACTTGGCCATAATCATTATTAGGGTATCTAGTTTAAAAAATTTGTCCGAGGACCACGCCTTCCAACCATCATGGCCAACTTGGTTAAAAATAGAACATAGGGGTAAAATGCAGTTTTTGGTTTATATCTCTGAAACTAAAGCATTTAGAGCAAATCTGACAGGTGGCAAAAATGTTCATCAGATTTAGATTTATCTGCCCTGAAATTTTCAGACGAATCCGACAACCTGTTGTTGGGTTGCTTCCCCTGAGTTAGTAATTTTACAAAAATTTTACAGTTTTTTGTTATTATCTTAGATATCATTATAATATCTAATATCTAATACTATTAATTATCATTTTAACCTTATTTTACATGATTTCCAAAGCATCAGTCAATACAGGTGAGCGACACAGGCTCTTGAGAGCCTCTAGTTTGTTTGAAGTTACAACTCGTGTTACTTTTGAGGTTTCCTGAAGAAAATCATGGACTTTGCCATGCTTTATCAGGAGAGTACATATTTTGTATCTGCAACCCCCTCCAAAACACATTATAAGAATTTAAACTTTTTCAGAATCTTAACCATATTAATTATCAGTTGTAACCCCCTACCGTTTTAAAAAAAAAAGTTTATTGTCCCCAGCGTAACTCGTTGCGGGAGACATGGAAATACCGGGCGTGTGTCCGTCCGTCTATACGGTCTTGTTATTCATAGGATTTCCCTAGGCAATTCATAGACTTTGTCATTTCTGTATGTAAGGGTGGGAGTTTCATATTGTGAGTACTTCTAGTTTAATGATCAGTTTCTTAGGATGGTAAGAATTTATTAATAATACATTTACATGTGTATCTATTCCATTAGAAGAGCACAAAGGACTGTTTGGAAGTTTTGTCCATTCCCTGTCCTCTGACCTTGGATAAATGGAAATGACAAGGTTGCTCTAAAGGTGAATTTTATGGTAACAAATTTCCAGTTGTTGCAATATGTCACTATCATGACTATACTTAATTTCTATAACTTATGAAACATTTCATATAATTTGCTTAGTTTTATATTGATTGTTTATTTTATTCCTCAGGTGTTTTTCTGTAGAGAATGATGTACTAATGATGGTAGGGACTTCATGTAAGAATCTACAGTGTTTATATCTGGATGGTTGTTATAGAATCAGTGATCAATGGACCTGTAGTGTAAGTACGAACACACTCTAGTGAGGGTGGTTAAAAATGGGGGGTGGGGGTATTTTCATGGAAGAATATGTTATACAATTTTAATTCATAATAAACAGATAATACTGCTTAAATGTATCATGTGTATTGCTATCTATTTAATAGCATGAAACACATGGAAAATACCTTATATTTAAAAGGCAGAATTCTTGATAATTCATTCATCAGCTAAGTAAACAGCCACACATTTCTTTGCATCATAATAATGATGTTACAGTTATTTCGTAATTTTGTTGATCCTCGTGGTATTAATATGAATATTCTTAAAAGGAAAAGTGGGTTATACACTAAAAGGCCAGCAACCCAACAACACCTAAAAAACCTTTCATGTTTGCATGACACTTTATTTGGCTTTATAAACTTTTTGAATCAAGCGTCACTGATAATTCTGTTGTAGAAATAACACGCAACTGGTGTACCAAATTTCAGTCCTGGTATCTATAATGAGTTTATTAATAATTTGTTTTTGTAGGTTGGAGAAGGATGTCAACAGTTAAAGGAATTGGTCCTGAGTCGCTGTAGTCAGATGACTGATGTAGGAATTAGCAGGATTGCTGAAAACTGTCATAACTTAGAAAATATTATACTGGATCATTGTAACAAGGTAATAGTATGTCAGAGGTCAAGGTAGCTGAAAACTGTTATAACTTAGAAAATATTATACTGGATCATTGTAATAAGGTAAGAGTATGTCAGAGGTCAAGGAAGCTGAAAACTGTCATAACTTAGAAAATATTATACTGGATCATTGTAACAAGGTAATAGTGTATGTCAGAGGTCAAGGTAGCTGAAAACTGTCATAACTTAGAAAATATTATACTGGATCATTGTAACAAGGTAATAGTATGTCAGAGGTCAAGGTAGCTGAAAACTGTCATAACTTAGAAAATATTATACTGGATCATTGTAACAAGGTAATAGTATGTCAGAGGTCAAGGTAGCTGAAAACTGTCATAACTTAGAAAATATTATACTGGATCATTGTAATAAGGTAAGAGTATGTCAGAGGTCAAGGTAGCTGAAAACTGTCATAACTTAGAAAATATTATACTGGATCATTGTAACAAGGTAATAGTGTATGTCAGAGGTCAAGGTAGCTGAAAACTGTCATAACTTAGAAAATATTATACTGGATCATTGTAACAAGGTAATAGTATGTCAGAGGTCAAGGAAGCTGAAAACTGTCATAACTTAGAAAATATTATACTGGATCATTGTAACAAGGTAATAGTATGTCAGAGGTCAAGGTAGCTGAAAACTGTCATAACTTAGAAAATATTATACTGGATCATTGTAACAAGGTAATAGTGTATGTCAGAGGTCAAGGTAGCTGAAAACTGTCATAACTTAGAAAATATTATACTGGATCATTGTAACAAGGTAATAGTGTATGTCAGAGGTCAAGATAGCTGAAAACTGTCATAAGTTAAAAAATATTATACTGGATCATTGTAACAAGGTAATAGTATGTCAGAGGTCAAGGTAGCTGAAAACTGTCATAAGTTAAAAAATATTATACTGGATCATTGTAACAAGGTAATAGTATGTCAGAGGTCAATGTAGCTCAAAACTGTAATAACTTTAAACAAAATATCATTAAGGACCATTGTAATAGGTTATGTAAGTCATAGGTAAAGGTAGTTCAACTCTGTCATTTCTTTGAAAATATCTCACTGAACCAATATTAAAAGGTAATATAGGTCAGAGGTCAAGGTTGCTCAAAATTGTCATAAACTTAAAAAAAATATCATATTGGATCATTTCAAAAAGGTAAGGTATCTCAAAGCTGCCACAACTTTGAAAATACTGAACTGGATCTTGTAATAGGTAACATATGTCAGGGGTCAAGGTAACTCGAAACTTTGATCCATAAAAAAATAATTTTCTGTATTATTGTGTAGGTCAGAGTAGATGCAAACAACATCAAAATTAGTTGGACTTGAGTTAAAGAGAAAACTTGTTATAACATTCTGAGATAAAAAATTAGTTGAAGACATTGTAAAAAGTAAAATTACAAAAATCCTGGACTCAAAGGAAAATTCAAACGGGAAGTCCCTTTAATATCAAATGACAAAATCAAAAGCTCACATCAAACGAATGGAAAACAATTGTCATGTTCCTGTGATTTGGTACAGGCATTTCCTTATGTAACAAACTAATGACTGTACATATTGATTCTTTTTTCCTCTTTGAAATAAATTTTAAAAATATCATAGACATATTTCCTCTTATTCTCTTTTCCAGGTTACAGATCAATCAGTGAGAATGTTGGCAGAAAACTGTCCAGACTTAAAGACATTGTCATTAGCTAACTGTAACATCACAGACACTGGAATATGTTCTATATATAGGGTAAGAATAGAAGTAATTAGGGCCTGCTGACTAGTGAGTGGTGCCCTTTTGTAATCACCCTGTCTGTCAGTCTGTCATCACTTGTTAGAGGTAAATCAAGATTGTCTCAACTGAATTATACAGTGTACATGATGTATATTGGGTATGAATAAAAAGTCATCTGAAACTCATATCTGTTCTCTACTGAAGATTTATAACTTCATTTTCATTGGTAACATTTTTTATGGTTTTGGAAAAACTTGTAAATACTTGATTTTGTTGCTTTGACATATTCTCCATACAGGCTAACATAAATAATATGTGTTTGTTAACCTTAGGTTTGAAGTAGAATGTTAAATCCCATGACTGGTGTAGAACAATGCCAGGCACTCAGTACAAAGTAATCATTGGAAAACCCTTTGGGGGAGGTAGAAATAATGTATAAATCACATAATGTTCAGTGAAATCTTCATTCAAATACTGTTATTATGGCAGAAATGTTGCAGTTTACTAAATATACAAACTCAAAAACTAAGATTGAGAAAACTTAGAACATGTACAATTTTTTGATCCATATGATATTGTAGAATCTTACATTTACTACTTATTTTATGATCACTTCCTCATCAATTTGTATTCTTTATAACAGTTTAAGTGTTCGAACTTGAGGTTGCACTTGTGTAAATATAGACAATGCAATTTCCTATAGGAAGTCCTTTTACGGCTAAAATTGTGCCACTTTTACTACGAAATTTTGTAATAAATAATATCCTACAATGGATAGTTCATATGCACTACTATTTTTAGGCAGTTAAGCTGCCTTATACGAGCACCCTAGATTTGTGTTCTACCCAATAAATGCTGAAATACGTGCCAATGTTATTATCTAGCTGGCTATTATGTTATTTATAACTAATTGGACATTTTTTTAATACTTTTATTTCTGCAATACAAAAAATATGACCAGAAAAACCTTAAATGATCGTCGAACTACCCAAAACTTTTGAAGTTGCACATAGGAAGTAGTGATCTATGGAAATCCGTACGTAGTTTATTATCCCCTGTGCTTTTGGCTATGATGTCAAAGAACAATTGTATGAAATATTTCATCGCCGAAAATTGGTAATTACAAGTCGTTTATATTTCCCAAATAGCAAAATGCGCAGGAATATTGTTCATGTTCAACAAATCTCTATGATAGAGGAAATAAAGTTATAAAAGTGGGCGGTAATGTTTAACTTATCTTGCCAAATAAGGTTGTTGTTATTTTATGAATGAAACGAGGTCATGAAGCAGATGCGGAAATCGACGTTGATGGGATGTTTTAAGTAATGTAGACAACTCGTCCCCGAGACAAGTCGGACCGAATCCACTCAAACCGTCTAAGAAGACAACTTTGACTGTTTGTCAGATTTACGTAGGGTTTCATAAAATATTAGACTAACATGTCTAGCGGAGCCATTAATCTTTTGTTTGTGCATTGGGGTCTATTTAGGGATATTTGGAGGGGCCTGAAGAAGGGAGGGGTTTACTATAGAACCCTATGGGATTTTATTTATTTTAATTTTCAAATGACTATTTCTCGAAAACAGTAAGTGATAGACACATGCAGTCTTCAGTAATGAGAACAGGACAATAAAAGAAATTAACCAAAATATAGGATGAGTCCCTGGGGGTCATCCCAACCCCCTTCAATTTGAAAATGTACTTTTATCTTGTAAACCGTCGCAATCCCCACCCCTAAACAATATATATACTTGTATGGGACAATAAAAGAAATCAGATGAAAATAATTTGGGGGAGTCCCTGGTGTCGTCCCACCCCCTCCTGTTTGAAAACTTGGAAATGGTCGAGGTCCCCACCCCTAAACCATATATATTCATGTATGGGACAATAAAACAAATCAAATGAAATATAGGGGGAGTCCCTGGGGACACCCCACCCCCTCCTATTTGAGAACTTGTAAACAGTCAAGATCCCCACCCCTAAACCATATATATTCATGTATGGGACAATATAACAAATCAAATGAAATATATAGGGAGTCCCTGGGGTCACCCCATCCCCTCCTGTTTGAGAGCTTGGAAATGGTCGAGATCCCCACCCCTAAACCATATGTATTCATGTATGGGACAATATAACAAATCAAATGAAATATAGGTAGAGTCCCTGGGGTCACCTAACCCCCTCCTGTTTGAGAACTTGTAAACGGTCGAGATACCCACACCTAAACCATATTTATTCCTGTTCATCATTTCAAAAAGATTTGAATGGCATACAGGGTCAATCTCTTAGGTGTCACATATGCATATCAATTTACTAGACCAAACCAATATGAACTGGACTTTACCCAATGTCAGGAGACCATGGGAATGACGAATTATGGGGGCTTTGTTTGGGAGACTTCGTAACGGCATCCAGTTACAATTATTTCTTGTTTTTTATAAAATTTTATTGATGCAAAAAATGAGTCTAGGTTAATTTAATTTACTTTAATTATTTATTAAATTATTTCTGGGCCTATAATAATTTTCATTTATGGCTCATTCTAAAGAAAACATATAAATCTTTCAAGCAGTGTAAAGCCCGAGAATGTTTGACCAACTGTTTTATAATCACCTGTCATTTTATTCCAAACTTGGTATGGAGTAACATCATGCACTTGGGGGTGAAGATGGGGGTCATTTACATTGATATATGAGTTGCTTTTGAAAACCTTGATGAAATATTAATTAATTTGCCTTAATAATCAATTCATTTAATGAACATAACATTTATATGCCCTGAACTTCTAAGAGTTTAAACTTATACTAAAATTCTGTACTACCCCTCCCTTCACTTTGGGTCTTTTTCAAAATTCAATTTCGCAGCTATCCATTTGGATTTATACTGGTAACATTCCCAAGTTATTTCTCTATGAGATGAAACATAGAGATCATATCTGGGAACCAGTACGTAAACAAAACAAAATATCTATGAATATTATATCTCCCCAAAAGAGGCATGGTTTGTGAAACAGCTATATTTACAAAGTGCAACCTTGAAATCCTTTTCAACAGCTGATGTTGGTCTAAAAATGTCAGTATAGAATTTTACTTTTTATTTTGTGTCAATTTCATTTAATATTGTAAATTCTTTATTTTCAGATGAAGAAATTGGAATACCTTGATATTTCTAATTTGCCTGGTGGTAGTATCACTGCAGCAATTGTCTCTCAGCTTACAAGAAAGTGTGATAATCTGGAGTGTTTAAACCTTTCATTGAATCTGACTATTGATGACAGATGTATACAGGAAGTGGTCAGATATGGGCAGAAGATAACAAAATTGTTTTGTGTTAACTGTAGTTTAAGTGATGAAGGTAGAATCATAGATCATGAAGATATATATATGTTAAGCTTCAGGATCACATGTCATGTCATTTTTCAAATTTTTTATACTGATGCTTAGAATTTTCAACTACATGCGACTTTATAACTTTTTTTTAGTCAATCTTTAAGTTAATATGTTGTAGTTGTGCACCCAGTGAGTTATCCTGGCATAGGATGAGGAGTTGTTCATATAGATGACCTGTAATAAACCAAATATAGGATTTAGCATTCATAATTCTTTTAAGAAGTATATTAGGCCATGTCCCTCTTCTCATTTCATTGGCTTATGGAAGAAAATTCTTTATAAAAAAAACAATGGGAATTTAGTTATAGGTAGTACAATAATGTTTCAGGCTAGGCAAAGGAGTCAAAAGAACGATTCCAGATGGGGTTACATGTTTTTCTGATAACTTCTGAACTGGCATTTTATAATGAAATAAGCATCTTGATGTAGTAAAATACAGAGAGATTTTGTATATATCATATCAACATGTTCATGTCTTGAATATGCATGTAATATATTAAAAAATATTCCTTTCTTTGCAGGATTAATGGGCATAGCATCCAATGGAAGGAATATAGAAAAATTGGATTTGGGCTGGTGTAAGGACATTACTGACCGTGGAATATGGGCGGTCACTGAAAATTGTCCAGCTCTAAAATATCTAGGACTTATTAGGTAGGTCAAGGTCAATTGAGACAGAGATCACCACTGAGTGCTCTTAAATATACATAAGAAAAAATTGTGACCACAAAATATCCGACACATGAGATAAGAAAGATTATTCATCCACTAGAAGGACATTCATATCAAAAGTCTGATATCGATTGAAATCTTACCATAGGACATCTGACTTTGTTTCATCTTACATTTTTGGTGATGTTTGATTCTATTTCCAGGGGTGTGGAAATACTATGCTGGACTTGCCCGACTCGTACATTTGAAAACCTGGACAAGTAATTTTTTGTTAGGGTTGCCCATGGACAAGTAAAAAATTACACTTGACAAAATCAATTTAATTAAAAGTATAGAATTGTTTTCACAACTTGTTAAGATGTATTATTTTATGTAAAAGAAATTATTGTTCAACAGGAGAAAAACATATTGCAAAATTGCTCTCAAGATGTCTTCTGGTTATTTTGCTGTTAGGTTTCTGTCTCATTGATGTTCACCCCATACCTGTTATTCATACACATAAACAAATATCACAAACATTCATTTATATTGTGATACAAAGCAGTTTTAAGAATCATACAAGCTTACAGTAAAATACTTAAATATTTTTTGGGAAATGCAGGGCAAGTTACTTTTTTCTGGACAAGTAAAATTTACAGTTTAACTTGCCCAGGGACAAGTGTTCACAACAAATATTTCCACGCCCCTGATTTCTTACAGTAGATACTAAAACAATGCAAATTTAATAGGCATAGTTAGGTTAGTATCAAATTTGTTTTAGTTGATCAATCATTTTCATTCCAAATTCATACCTGATGTATTATTTCATATACTAAAAATCTGTGGCACAAGATTTTAACCAGTTTGTATGTTAATTGATAGATGTTTCAAATTCAAGTTTGTTTTACTATGAAGAAATTAATCTTGCAACTTGTTCAAAGGGAGATAACCCTTTATCTTCTAATTTCAGATGTGATTCAGTGTCAGAGAAAGGAGTTGAAGCCATGGTTGACAAATACCCTCACATTCAGTTCTCAACTTTCTTTATGGAGTCGAGAAAATTGATCCAGAAAGCTATCGCTAATGGTTTTAAGTTTATGGCAGAGACAGAGCAGAATAAATAATTTATATAAAAATTTCTTAATGAAGTGCCGAAAATTTGCTATAAGGATGTGTGTACTTGAATAATTTAAATTGTACAGATGCCAGCTTATGGGAACTTACTAGGGATGTCAACGAGTACTAGAGTACTCGAGTATCACTCGGTAGTACCGAGTATCGATTACCTAAATGATACTCGACTAATCGGTTTCCTGTAAGAATGTTGTTGCTTTCTTGCTTTCTTAAGCTAAAACAAAAAAAAAATTTTTGAGAGCGCCTCCCGGAAAATTAAATATTAATCAAAATTAATAAAACTTAAAATTCGATTCGAATGTTTGTGTTTAAATGTCATTTAAAATTCCTCCAAAGAGAGGTAGGATATATGAACAAGAGCATGTTTCCAAGGCTTACACCTTTGGCTGACCTTAATTATTCCTCATCTTCTCTACCGTAAAAGTATATATTTTCTTCAGCAAGACTGTTAGTTACCTAACAAAGATGAGAAATAGCCTCGTCCCAGAAAAAGTAAACAAGATGATATTTTTCAATAAGAACAAATTCGTTGCACCCTGTGTTGACCCTCAGAAAAGGATTAAGTTCTAATCATCACCCCTTTGATCATTAAATGTGTTTTTTACGGTCACTGTTGTTTGAGTAATCATTTTTCTATAGATATTTATTAATTACTTGATTAGATTATTGTCAGCTTACATAATCAGTTCATGTAGTAAATGAACTATTAATTATGATATAAAATTCCTTGGATTATTATCTAGTCCTAAGTAATAATGTTGAGGGTTTAACGTTTATAATGCAATGACCCACAATTCATAAAATGGATATAATTTTGTGTTTCCATTTTGTATATATAAAATGCTTGACCGAGCGAGTACTCGAGTATCGCTCGGTAAATCCTACGAGTACTCGATTAGTTTATCTTCACTGAGTTGACATCCCTAGAACTTACCCAAGTTTTTTGCAAATTGAACCCTGAAATCATATTATTTATGGTCAGCTTTGTGAATGTGAATAAAAGGTGGAGTATAAGGCAATGAGACAGCAAAGAAACAACACAAATAAGTAAAAGCCATGTAGAGGTCAAAATAAGGTCGTCAACATGTAAGGAGGGTCTGTTCAACATGTCAAGCTCTAGTTTGCAAAAATTGAAAAAAAATGAAAAGTTGTCAATGCATTCAATCATAATATTAATGATTAACCATCTACACAAAAATTCCTTAAAGGACAAAGATATACATTCAAGTATACTGAAATTTCTGTGTGCATTTATATTAAAGCCATTGCTGAACAAAGTATAGACATTTTATGTGAGATCAATTATTAAGATTTCAGGACATGCTTCATGCAAATAATGCTATCAAAATTTGAAATGCAAGTTTTTATTTTTTGCATAAAGTTTTTTTTGTTGTTGCAATAATAAAAGATCACAAATGTTTCTGAATTTACAACTGAAGAGGTCACTTTTTATGGACGGGCAAGTCTTCTAGTTTGGCTTCTAATTGTAAACATGATATTCTAAATGGTTACTATTGAAAAATATGGAATGTTTTGCTAATTCTGCATTTTATTGATGAAATAATATTTTTTTTCTAGCCATTTTGACATCATTTCATTCAAATTCAAAAACACATGATACCATTTCCTTTCAATTCAATATTTTGACTCATTCAATTCCTTTCAGTAATAAAGACAATTATTAGTCCTGAGCACATATCTCAAGATCTTGGTGTACATGGACCATCATGTCACTCCTTAATCAGGAAAATAGACACCAGTAAAACTTATCCATCAGTGGTGTATCCAGGGGAGGTTCGGGGGTTGTAACCCCCCCCCCCCCCCCCCTTTTTTTTTTTGACAATCAATGCTTTTGAATGGGGACATATGGTCGGAAACCCCCTTTTAAAAATGGCTGGATCCGCCCCTGTCCATTCTTTCAATATGCAGTGTCAGACATTGTACTGATCATGAAAAGCATGATATGATGACAAGGGCTTAGGTTTGTTTAAAAGTCTTTGTTCATATAGTTGCTGAAAATAGTTCAGACTTTATTTGTATTCTAAACAATACAGGAGGGTCATAATAGGGGTCCCTTCATGACGAATAACGGTAAAAGTTCTTGCCAAATGACGTTTACGGTAATTTTTGGTGCATGACGATAAAATGTACACTTTCTTTTAGACGATAAAGAAATCGACTGATTTTGACGAATCACGTTAAATTTTTCCAAAAATAACGGTAACGATACTTATTTGAGACCTCTGACGAATCACGATAAGGATATTTTGACGAATCACGGTAAAATTTAAAGTAATTTAACGCTAACGGTAGCCGAAAAAGACCGTTTGACTCCTGACGGTAAAGGGCATTGCTACCCTCGTACAGGTTAATGTAACACAAGTTCCGATTTCACACATAAACTTTTATGAAGCTTTTACAATTTTAGTTTTGGTGGAAACAGAGAGTTGTATAAAAATAAAGGCTTTTTAAGTTATGTATTTTGTTTCATGTTTATGTTAATGACAGAATTAAATTATTTAAATCACTTTTTTAGTACTTTCTTTTAATGAAATTGTGTTGTCTGTCTCATATGTTCTTACCTTAATGTCACTTCTCTTCAAAGTAAGAATTTCGAAGAAGTCTTCCAACTATTATGTCAAAGATGCAGAATTAGAATTTTGATTGATTGATTCATTCATTTTTAACGCCACTGTCAGCACTACAGGTTATATCGTAGCAGCCAGTTTTTATTTTGATTAAGGAAGCAGGAGAGAAGGAAGAGAGAACCACCGGTCGTAGGCAGAAAAACAAGCAATCCTAGTTAATAAAGATTGGAGTCGAACCAACCTGCCACTTGTGGAGTTTGAACTCATAATTTCTGTGTTGACAGGCTAGTGATTGCTGTAGATGAACTACTTGCACCTCTCAGCAAACAAGGCTTGCTAGAATTTTGAAAGAAGTCTTCCAACTATGACGTCAAAAATATTTTGGCTTATTAAACATGACACTATGACACAATTTTCCACCATAGACTATAGGACGAGAATGTTAATAACTGCAGTTTATTTTATGATCTTCACAAATGAGCGAAAATGTTGTACAGTAACTTAAAAAGAATAACCAATCACAATCACTGGACTACAAATTTATGACTTGGGACAGGCCAAATAAAAAAGAGACCAGGCTAAATATGCTCTTGATTACATAACGCACACACAATTATTGGAATTTAGTGGAAAAAAATCATCAGGCAGGTACTAGGCACAAACACAGTATCAATAAAGGAGTACTGGCAGTTTATGAAAAGTATTTCAAAGCTCAATTTCAACCTATAAATATCCTTTTTTTTTTCCAGACTCTGGTGTGTTTGACTCCAGTCTAATTTAACTACAAATTTCAATTTTCTTACCAAAGGTCAGGTGTTTTTTCTGGCTACTCTGGCTTTCTCCATCAATAAAAACTCTCCACCTTGATATAACCATCGTGCTTAGAGTTTTTTTATACCAACAATCGATCAATCAGTACACCTCCAACAGATTTTGTGTAGACATACAATCACCATGAAAAGTACATCTCCAACAGATTGTGTGTAAACATACTATTACATGTCTTAGAAAAGTAGATTTTTTATTAACTTCGTGCAACATCAAGATATAAGTATAAACAAGGTGCCTTTTATTGAATTTATTTTTAGTTATGTATTGACCTATTGAAAATAAGATAATTAAATGTGAATTCCATATACAACATAAGGGGTCAAATTAACATAACTATCCAAAAAAGGAATATCTATAAAATATCAAGATTAAATGTTATTAATTTTTTCGATTGAAAAAAAATTTCATTCAGTTTTGCTTTTACCCGTGATTACTAACAATCCAGGAGGTAGTTGGCTTTACAACAAGTAATTTGCACCACTGCATCTGATCAAGGGGCCGCGGTGGCCTAGTGGTCTAAGTAGTCAAATTACTGTATCACTAGCCTGTCATCACTGAGGTTGTGAGTTTGAATCCGGCACGTAGCAGGTGCGTTCGACTCCAATCTTAATTGACTAGGATTGTTAGTTTTCCTACCGAAGGTCGATGGTACTCTCCGGGCACTCCGGCTTCCTCCACCAATAAAACTGACCACTCCGAAATAGCAGAATAGTGCTGAAATGGGTGCTTAATCTTCAGGTGAGTGATCTACACCTTACTGGTATCAGGTGGGAAATAATATATATAAAAAAAACTCACATTTATAATTTCAGTTTTGATTTTCTTCACATTTTTTTTGCAATCGCATTTATTAGATCTCATATTTTTACCAGTAATCAGTGATTTGCAATAATGAATGCATACATTACTATCTATATTAATTACAGTATGTATGCTTTGGCAAGTTGATCAGATTGATTAATTGATGTTTAACGCCACGTCACAACTGAAATTATAAATGCGAGTTTTTTTTTATATTATTTCCCACCTGATACCAGTAAGGTGTAGATCACTCACCTGAAGATTGAGCACCCATAAGATAGACTACCAACATCTGGCGATATGGCACCTTAGATAGTAAATTTGATTTGCTTCCCTTTGCACAAAAGCCTAAATTTTCGGAGACAATTTGGAATATGGGATTGCTGGAAAAAAAAAATCCCGTTTTATTATAAACAAGATGTGCACTTCCACAGCCATTGTAAAGTTACACAAACATTCACATTTAATATATTTTTCACAAAAAATCTAATATACAAAATCTTTCTTATCGCTTTAACCTAATTCAAATTGTTTTGTCAGGATTTATTTGAATAGATATTGTCAAAATATAAATATTTTTCACTGGCTTTATATTATCTCCTTTAGATTTAAATATTAGGTAAACTATAAGCTAAAAGACTAAAATGTAAATTCGTTTAAAATAAATGTTATATAAAAAGACAAATAAACGATGCCTACCCTGCCATATGCCTGAATGAAGGTCTAGATGGGTGTTTATATAATAGAGAATAATGGACAAAGTTTACAGATGTTTTTCTGCTTTGTATCGATCTGATTTAGCCCTTTTCAACTGGGGCAATATGCGTAATAGATTCTCCATAGGCGGTAATGTTAACGTTTTCTTCTGTTGCTCAGGCCATATCGTAAACTTGGATATGTATGATGGCTCATTTTGAAGCTGAGACACTTGCACATGTGTGGTGCGATTTTCGGGTTGGCAAGTGTGATTCGTTTTCCCGTCAAGTGCCCAACCCCGAAAGATAGTGAAAAATGTCACTCTCCTCAGGAAATAATCCCAAAATTCTGACCATAAAAATCATTAAAAAATATGTCCTTTGTAATTATTTGTTCAGGTTTATTTTTTTATACTTTTTTTCACATCACATCAGCTCTATAAAACACCAGTCCTAGTTCATTTATGTCAATTTTTAAAATCACAGCTTCCACAATTGTATGGCGGACTAATTTTTTAAAGAGAGTCATAAATCTGTGTTCCTCATCTCAAGGTCCATTAGGGATATTGACCCAACTGATTTTTAAAGTTTGTTCTTATGTTGCACTGTTAAACCACTGTCCCAGGTTAGGGGAGGGTTTTTTGTAAATTGTTTTGTTATAAATTAGGCCGTTAGTTTTCTCAATTTAATTGTTTTATATTTTTTATGTCGGGCCTTTCATAGACGACTATACTGTATGGGGTTTTCTCATTGTTGAAGGCTGTACGGTTGCCTATAACTGCTCTTACACACTTCATTGGAACTGCGGTTGGTAGTTGTCACATTGGCAATCATACTACATCTCCTTATTTTTATATAGATCTATAAAGAATGGGCAAAAAAGAATAGAGAATAATAAGATAAAAATAGAGAATAATGGGGTGCTCAAATTGTAAGAATAGAGAAGAATGGGGTACTAAAATATAAAAAAGGAGAATAGTCGACCAATGTTTGAAAAGAGAAATGCCCCCTAAAACATCCAGTTGCAGGTACATTTTTCGGGGCAATGAAGTTGAAAGATATTCTTTGTTACACGTCACTTTATCGATTTGTCCTAAGACAAAGTCAAAATAATAAGTGAGCTGTATATATTTACTTATTTTATCTGCAGCACTGAATAGTGCAACGGTTATCAGTTATAAATATAAAATAATGTATTGATGTTATATGCTATATAGAAATTTGATAATTTCAAATGCAAAAAAAACTAGTTTATGTCATTGTTTTGGATTGTATTCATTAGCGATAGATAACATTGTTTCCTTTTATATTGAAATTTGCACAATTTAACATGACATGATTTTGAGTATCTTGTTTTGTTCGTTTTTCTGTTTTTGTGCTATCATGGATGGATTTCTGTTGCAAACAAATAATCAGGGTAACAAGGCTGTTGGATATAACCATTATTTGACATTATCTGAATTCTATGAAGCGAAAAATCAGGAAAATACGATCTTACTGTCCTC